CCACCACCCCCCCCAGCCACTCCTCCCCAAGCCTGTAGCGCTGCTGGGGGTTGTTGTGACCCAAGTGCAGGTCGCGGCACTTGGCCTTACTGAAACTCATGGAATTGGCCTTGGCCCAGCGATCCAGCCTATCTAGATCCCACTGTAGAGCTTCCCTACCTTCAAGCAGATTGACCTTTCCACCCAGCTTGGTGTCATCTGTAAACTCACTGAGGGTGCACTCCATCCCCTTGTGCAGATCATTGATAAAGATGTTAAACAGGAGTGGCCCCAGTACTGAGCCCTGCGGGACACAGCTTGTGACCAGCTGCCAATCGGATTTAACTCCATTGACCACAACTCTCTGGATTCGGCCATCCAACCCGTTTTTCACCCAGCAAAGCGTATGCCCATCCAAGCCAAGAGCAGTCGATTTCTCTATGAGAACGCTGTGGGAAACAGTGTCAACTGCCTTACTAAAGTCGAGGTAGATAATAACATCCACAGCCTTTCCCTCATCCAACAGGTGGGTCACTCTGTCATAGAAGGAGATCAGGTTTGTTAAACAGGACCTGCCCTTCACAAACCCATGCTGACTGGGCCCAATCACCTGGTTGTCCTGCATGCGCTGCATGATGGAACTCAGGATGATCTGCTCCATCAGCTTCCCTGGCACAGGGCAGACTGATAAAAGAGGTGTGAAAGATGAACAGGAGCAATACACGTAAACTGGAGAATGGTAAATTCTCCTGATTATGGCAATGCCTTTTGGGGAGCGACTTGTGTAAATTCAATAAATTTATTGTTCTGCTTGTTATCCATTGTTCAGCCACTCTTTTCCAGGCCACACTACAGCAGAATTGAAAAGGCATATTCACACATCTTTACAGACACCTCATGTACCCCAAAAACTAGCTTACTGCCCTTAATAGCTAACATAATTTACATTAATCTCATCCTTTCTTTCACTCCGTGTTTACTGCTGTGTATCTGTAGGTAAGCAGTCATAGTACGTACAACTGCAGAAATTAAAATACTTAGGGAAAAAATTATACATGTGAACATATAAACATGCTGATTCATGCATTTAATATCCCATGGAAGAAACTATGTAAAACCAGTATTTGAATTGTGAATTCCAGCCACCAAAGGCTGGGAAAGGACACATCTGATTTGCTTATGTTCCTCTTTCTCTTTCCAGACTGCTCTATCTGTGAACCCTGTGGAAATGGCCATTGGAGCGTGACGTGAAACACCCTCTCAGTATCGCAGGGCTGGCTGCATCCAAGACAGAGACAGCGTTTGCTGATGTGACACAAAGCACATGCTCTCCAATGCAGGCTAATACAAGGTCTGGGATAAACCAGAGGAAAACAACTCCTTAGGTCCTCTGGTAGATGCACTCTTGGTATATCTGAGCAAAGGAGAATTAAGGCTGTGTGGAAAGCCTGGTATGTCTTTGCCTTTGACCTCTTTGAACTTGTTTTTATTGCATTTTTTTTGTCTGTTCCTAAGTTTTAAAAGGGAAGGTGTAAAAGGAAATGCTATTACACAAACAGTATTGTATATTTTTTTATCTATAGATCATTAGAAGAGCTTGTAGTCTGAAGTGAGGACAGAATTTTTGCTAAGAGCTATCTGATTCTCCTGCACTATTACGTTTTTGGCAGGCCATCCTTCCAAAGTTGATGTTACACCAGAAAACCTAATTCACTGACTCTGTAATCCTAGTCCAAAACACACCCTGGGCCTCTCATCTCTAGATGCCAAATGATCAACAGGTGCATAAGTGGTGCTAGCATGTATCCAAATACCAGGTAATAGATCAGTTTAGGAATTAAAGCCTAGCCACCAAAGGCATTAAGAAACATTTTTTTCATAGCCTATCTCGCTACTGTTTTTCATTGTATTATTAGTTTTATTTTCTCACGGAAGCTGATAGATTCGTATTTGAGGAGGCTTTTCTTTCATCTCGATGAGCACAAAGTCTCACATCTCCACACACTTAAAGGATGCGACATAATGTACACATTACTCAAATTAATTTTTTGTCCTTCTTATTCAAAAAAGGACACCCTTAATTCACCAGGTTTAAGATGGGAGGGTGCTGATCTTGTTTCTTTATGATCAACTCTGTATCATTTTAGTCCTTGAAAGTCCAGTGGCAAGAGTTTGGCACAATTAGCTTCTATAGCGAGGAATATGCCAGACATGTCTTTGGGTTTCTTCAAATGCTGAGTGGAGTGTCTTTTTTTTAGCTCACATGTGAGAATCAGTATTTATAGAATCAAAGACCATTTGTATACAGCTGGCTAATGACAGCGCTGTCTTTACAGGACAAATTTTTGCATGATATTCATATTTGAGCTTATTTTATATGAATATTTTATTTTGACTAAATTTAGGAGCAGCCATAATTCCCTTCTAATATATCGTACATATATAATGATATTTAGGATTTTAGGATTTAGGATATTCAGGATTTCTACTCCGCCAAAGGAAAGAAAGTCCTTGAGTTCCGTAATACATTGTCCTGAGAAGGTACTGCAGCTAGACCTGAGCAAAGTACAGCATAAGTGTATCATTGTGGTTTCCACCCAGGTAAAGTACTCTGGCTGAGAAACAGATTACATTAGCCTAGAAGCAGGCCCATGCTAAAACCACTGCCTGTTTTGCATCTCCTTTACTTATTACTGCAACTAGAACACATCAGCAATGATCATGATTCAAAATATCTCTGCAATGGGCCACTGTAACTTCATTCACCTTAATAAAAACCTTTCAATTCAAATGAAATTGTTCACCAACTTTTTGAGTTATTCAGTTCTTTTAAAAATGCATTTTGCTTTTTGTAAACCGAGGTCATAAAAAGCAAAGCGTCATTTTTTAAAAGAAAAGTAAATTAAAATTATTTGAAATCAGTTGCATTCACTTTTTCAACACTTTACCCCTATTTTTTAATTTAAAGTATTTACAATGTTCAGTCAGAATGTACAACCAACAAAACAAAATTTTCCCAGTAAAAATAAATGCACATTTCCATTTAATATCTGAATTGCAATTTCATCCTTTTTATTCTTTCCATTAATCCTTTTTAGAACTGAATGTTAGATCAGTACATCCTTTACATTAATCTTTGGAATTGCTTCAGTCTTCAACCAAGCAGATAATGGGGTATGATACTCATACATTCACTCTACTAGGAAGGGACAGAGGTGACTTTCGAAACTAGTACTCAGTTCTTCACTTCCAACGGAGCTAAGCCTGTGCACACTTCAGGAAAATTACTTTTATCCTCACTGACAACAGATACTCAGTTCCCAGTGAAGTCAATAGCTTTCATATACTGCTTTGCACAAAGCTGGTACAGTGATCTCCAACACACAGCATCCAACAAGAAGCTACCAGAAGAAAGGTTTCTATGTTGGTCTCATTTACAGGTCAATATGATATGATATGATATAATATATGATATGATATGATATAATATATGATATGATATGATATAATATATGATATGATATGATATAATATATGATATGATATGATATAATATATGATATGATATGATATGATATGATGTGATATGTGATGTAATGTAATGTAATATAATATAATATATAGGAATGCTTTTTATTTGCTAGCTAATACCTGGCATTTTAGATCTTTATGAAATGTAATGGCTGCACTTAAGAGAGTTCAAGCAGGACATCAGTTTTCAGCAAAATAATGTTTCAGATGAAGCAACATCCTACAAATTTAATAACATACTTTGTGTTCTGTTCTACCACTGCACCAGAAATGCTGTTAATATCCTTCTGATTCTTTCTTTTGCTTTTTACTTTTTGCCAGTAACCATTGACTACTATAATGAACATAGGAAGAAACAAAAAGTAGCAAAAATTTCAATGAGACTTCTTCCCAGGAGCAGAGAGGTGAAACTATGTTCTCTATGAAATGATGTCAAGTCCATGTACAGTAAAGTGTTCTGTCACTAAGTTTTCTTGTCTTACAGGCACCTAATTTGCCACACTACCGAAACAGATTGAAGTTTTTTCCTACTTATACCACATATTCATACTGTGCCTGGATGTGTTAACTGAAGCTATACTCCAGAGCAGCCACAATTCCAAAAAGACATTCTCCTTGAGAAGAACTAAAGGCCAACCCTAAGGGGAAAACCAGGTCCACATGTTAACATGAAGGTGAATTCTAGGGAAATTTTATTTCCGTTAGTACATTGCATATTTCCAAAATAATATTAAATTTCTCTGATGCAAAATTCAGTTATAAACTTGAAGGAATTGATAGAAGAATAATACAATTTCAATTTTAATAGATTTCATTATATTTGACTTTAACAGTATATTCATAAAGGACGTTACATGTTACATTCCCCAAACTTAAAAACTTCACCGAAATGGAATCTCTTTGTGGATTCCACAGTGTGCCCAAATCTAATTACATATGGAAAAAAAAAATCTTTTAATAAACAATTTTAAGAAATTGACAGAACAAGAATGTGAAACTAAAATATGAGAATGTTTCCCAGTCGAAGACTCCTGACACATACAATTACTCAGCTGAATCTCTTACTACATAACATCAGGCCTTTTAAGAAATTTTAAATTGTCAATAGTTTTTACTGTTTCTGGAAGGACTAATTCTTTTTAGTAAAATTAAATCCATTTATTTGTACTTTGATCATATGAAAATATAAAGCCTCGTTTCTGGCAGCTAATATGTACCTCTGAGTGAAATGTCTTTTCTTTTTCTTCTCTGATGATGACTAGCTTATGACCAAACAGTTTGTTGACAGTTCTTTTTTGCAACTTACCCTTAAATGAATGCATTGTTTTATACATTTCATCATGTAAAAAGACAGTTCTTGCAAGAAACACTCAGTACAACCTGAAAATAATAAGTAACATTCTGTCATTGAAAACCTCTCTATCAATCACCTCCAACAAGGTTACTTTTGAAAATGGGATTTTAAAATTGGTGCTTGACAATGCTCACTTAACTTCCAAAAGTAACTTCTAAAATCAAGACAACAGATTATGGTCCTTTTACCTGTACAGTATACAACTAACTGTCTCATGGAGAACATTTCTTCCCATTCAGTTTTTATTTTGTGGTTATATACAGAGCAAAAACCTAGAGATGATTTTCCTTTCTTACTTTCTATTGATTTGTGGGCAGGAGAACATAACCCAGAGTTAACAACAGTATTAGCTGTAAATAACTGTACATAGTCAGGGTTCCAACTACTTGATTTTAGCATATTTTCTACATTTTCAAATATTCCTAATGTGGTTTCATTAGTGCCTGAAAATAATCAAGCCAGCAGTGAATTATTTGCACTTCAACTGTGTAGGAATTATTAATGATTGAAAACACCTTGAAAGTGCCATTGTTTGAGGCATCTGTGGTCACAAAGAAAAGATACGCTTTTCGACCACGTCTTTCATTGTTTTCTCAGTCAAAAGAGGAGCTAACATGTTGTTGGCAATACATGAAGTTTTTCTCCTACCATGATGTATCATTTTAGCTGTGGGTTAATCCTTGAAAATACAATTTAATTGGTTGTCACAGTTGGGTGATCTATCTGAATGACTATGGATAATAGAATGGTATGCCTTTGTTGTTTCTGCTGCAGCCTTCTCATTTTCTGAACTTCCACAATTCCTCACAACAGTAACAACAACAACAACGATGTGAAGAGTCTTGTCCTTGGAAAAAATGCAAGAATTTCTTGCATGATTACTTTCCAGGTTCTTACTATTGCCTACTGGACAACGCACCATCACCTCAAGACTCCATTTTCCTATACTGTAGGAAGCCTTTGGGCAACTATTGCGATCTTTTCTGATCAATTCAGTACTATTTCCCTAACTCTTTCAAAATGTCAATTTTTATCATGGTAGAGCCTATATCTTGACTATTGATGGAGTGAGACTGTCTTTGATTAAAGCTATTACTGGGATTTGCATGGGGCTGGGACTCAATCAACTGAAAATAACTAAATAATTAGAGTCCAGTTTAGATTATGATCATTCTGTGCCCTCTGTACCCCTTGTATATCATGCCATCACACCATAAACACTGTTCCCATAAGCTTGAAACTAGTCTAATAAACTGTGTAAGGGATAAAATCTCATTTAGTTACCAAAAGGCTTGAATTCACCAAAGTGGGCAATCCTGTTTGTAAGTCTTAAACTGTTCTGGGAATAAGTATTAAACTTCCCTTTTATATTTCAGTCCAAACCATTCACTATGAAGTTGGCTGAAAAAAATTAATAATGGTAGAACCCTTTACATAAAAACAGTGTCACAGAAATGTTAAGCTTTATGGTTTAACAGGGAAACAGGAGAGAAATGGGAGCAAAATCTGTGAAGGGTGGGAGTCTCCCCATTTCTGCACTCAGCCATAGACCACAGGTGAACACACCCAGAAATGTTCTTTCTTTATGCCCTTGACATGATTGCTTTAAAAGTATGAAGAGAAGGCTTTGATATACTCTGTTTTAACAGGAAACGTCCCAAATGTTAAAGCAACACCCATGATGTCTGTTTACTTAGTCTGCAATTTGGTGTACTTGAAGAATATTAAGAGAGGGCAATCTTTTCAGAGTTTGAAGTTCATTTACAACAAAAGAATATTTTTTCCAGCCCAGCTAACCGCTAAAAGGAAAATTTAATCAACAACTGAATTGCCAAAGATTACTCTGCAAAGGGTTGTCTGATTGATTCAGCCGCCCCTTTAGTTGTGTGACAAATGAGTGAAAGAAGAAATGCTCCCTGAAATACGGGATGAGTGGTTCCCTCTTCCTGAACCAGAGCATTCACATGCCTGATATCAAAAAAGAGAAATTCTGGGGAGCACAGCCACATTTAGCTTCCCTGGCTAGTCATATCTTACCCTGGATATGTGGGCCAGAAGGAGGAGAATTGTCCTTTGTCCAGTAGAACATCTTCTGAACAGGCTTTTGATCATTTGAAGAGGTACAAGTCATGCTTATGGCTAGTTTTTATCTTTACAGAAATAAATACTCCCTCAGCAATAGCTGCATGATGTGCACTGATTGTTCCCCTGATTGCATGGTGTATAGATATTAAAAAGCCAGAAATTACGACGATTCCAGGAGAGCCCTAGAAGGCTGAAAATGGTACCTTAGCATTACTCCTTGACAGGTACTTGTTGATTTTGCATCCTGTGTGCAACTTGCATTCTAGTTTCAAAACCTGGTAAAAAACTCTCAGATATCCTGTTGGAAGGAACTGAAAGTAGTGGAAGGGTCTACCAGTTTCCAGCGAAGCCATTTTGAAACCTACACACACTCATTATGTGGAAATACTGTAGAAAGAAATAAATGAAGTCTGCTGGAGAAAACTTGGTATAATAAAGAGTGTATTTCATATGCAGTGTATATTCAAAACCCTTGTGGTATCATCACGACCAACACAAGCCTTCTGTAAGCACAATAATTCTCACACATGTGTCCTGAAAGTTTGCCTTGCTTTCAGCACAGCTTGGGATAAGCTGAGTAGCATCATTAGGACTGCCTGTAACTTTCCCTGAAGTATCTCTGCCAGCATGGAGCTTTGTGTTTCCAGAGGCTGCTCAGGAGACAAACGGGGTCGGGGATTGACTTCACGTCATGTACAAAAACTGGCTTTCGGGACCTAAGGGATGGCATATCGTGGCTCACCTTCCCATTCTCCACCAGCCTCCTTTGTTTCCATCCTCCTTTCTCCTGCTCCCCCTCCAGTCTTTGAGGAAGAGCTCAAGAAACACTTCCCCACTTTTGAGCTTTTTTCTTTTCTTAAATTGAGTTTATCTTTCCCAGGAGCAGTGAGTCTGTACCTTCAAAAGACCCCCAAAATTAATATAGAAACCAAAACACAGAATGATTAAGTTTGAAGTGCTAGTAAAATATATAACTTCAAAAACTTTTCAAACTGTTTTATGTGTAGAAATACTTTGAATAACTTGCTCTTTTTTGTGAGAATTCGCTTTGATGCTTTCATAAAGTTACAAGCATGACGGTTACATGGAGAAAACACAATGAAAGAAGTAGAGTCAACATTGAGATTGCCACCACAGATATAATGGCTATTCAGGTTAACACTGGGAAAATATTTCAGCAAGCAGTCACAATTGCCTCCATAGCTGGATGCTTTGAGTCAAAAAAAAAAAAAAAAGAGAAAAGCTTCTTTTCATCACGGCCTCAGCAGGAGTCTTGGAGCAAGGAGGACAGAAGCTTGCCTTCTTCACTATAGTGTTGCCCTCCAGCTGCTTTAGGAGATTATTTCACTGATTTCTTGCTATTATAAAGAGTGAAAGACAGCTAACCTCACGCTGAAAACAAAACATGCAATTGCCATGTAGCATTTCCTTTCACTCAGAAAACATTTATCTGTTTCACTGCATCTATTTTGGCTCCAGTCCTGCTGTATTCCAGATAACTTCTTACACTCAGTTAAAGGAAGGGCTGGAAATATTTGTCTTGGCCCAACCCCTGAGATCATTCTTCCTCCTTGCTCTGCACTGATGGATTATCTCTTCTGGTTCGACTGACTGTTTCATAATCAGAAACACAGCACGAAATTAAAAACAACGCAGCCCATTTTAGAAAAACAGCTGTAGATCTATTCTCTTCCCATCCCTTTTGGGTGGAAGTCTTCATTCTTGCTGAATATCACTGCTTCCCATTTCTTTCGGGACTCTTCTGTTGGCTTCTGTTTCTCTTAGAGCATTCCCAAAGACATCCTGATTGCTATGACCACGCCACAACTGCAATTCCACAGCCTCTTCTCTTGGTGCGTCAAGAGGGTTACAGTTCTCATCCTGCTGCAGCCAGGGCCTGGTAAGAAGCTCTGTCTTTGATGAGCAATAACTATATACTCTTAAATTGGGTCACTTGAGAAAAAGGGATGTCCAAAGCATGCAAGAAAGTTGCAGGGGAAGTAGAGGTGGGTGAGACATGGCAGCGGGCAGACTTTGGTCACTGTTATCTGGTGGGCAACATAACTCAAAATGCTAATCAGAATAGTCACTCCTAAGGATATTGTTGCTGTAAGAAACAATTTTGTTGGCATTGACAGAGAAAGTACAGTGCCCACTCTGACCTGTAATTTAAAGCTTTACTAAGACAGCAGACAGGTTGGCTTTTATTTGAGACAGATGCATAATTCAATGAGGTGAGAAACCAAGGTTGTTATCTCGTGAATTTAGTAAGACAAACACACAAGGACAAGCTTAACTCCTGTGGAAAAAGTACAGAAATAAAAATGAATAATCACTGAATAGAAGAAACGAAGAAAGACAAAAATAAAAGTCTGTGATCATACGTTAATCGCTGCACTTAATATAATAAAGTACACTATTAAGCTCTCCTAGTAATACTTGATATCTGAAAAAATATAAAACAAATTATAAAGATACTGAATAGTATTCACGTATTACAACAAAAGATGTATCAACTTTATAAGTGTAATTCTTGAGGTGTTAGCTTATTCAAAGGAGAAGCTAAACTTCCCTGTTCATGAAAATAAGCGTACTCTCAAAGACTGCACACAGTAAGACTTTGTGCGCATAATCTCTGTGTTAAAGAGCTTGTTTTAATGATGGAGAGAGGATGTTTTGGCCAAAGAACTGGAAGAACATTTTGAAACATCTTTTATGCCATTGTCAAGCTAGAAAAGCAGAGGTTATCATGATGTTTTAATTTGTACTGTCACTCTTAGCACAAGAACAGCTGTAAAGGAATGGGAGACAGGGAAGTGATGAAAAAACAAACACCCATCTCAGGCTGAAGGATCGGGTACAGTGAGGATCTCATGCAGAATCATGAGCTACAGGAAGGAAGGTAAGGAGCACTTTGTAAGGAGGCAGGTGGCAAAATCAGATGAGTAAAAGTCTTCCAACTGTTCCCTTCCATGTCATTTTTAGGGTATCTCCTGAGGCTAGGTTATATCTTAAGAACTCACATGCCACTGTACTGCAGCATCAAAGTGTCCCAGAAAGTTGCTCTCATCCTTATAACACTCTGGTTGGGAAAAAAAACCCAACCAGTTATAACCTTTTCCTTTCTCAGAAGCTGAGATAATGAGGGCATTGGTGTATTCTCCAGGGTTGTGCAGGAAAACTACAGCTTGCCAGGGATATAAAACCCATTCTTTTAAACTCTTTCCCATTTGAAATCATCTTGCCACCCATCAGTGAACATTTTTCAAGGGTAAAAATAAATCCGTACATAAAATTCTGCATTTTTTGTGTTTTTCCTCAAAAGAAGCGCTAACTTCTGTGCACCACCACAGCTGAATGAAGAGAGACTACAAACATAGGTCCAGTAGCACACATCCAGTCATTCACCTTGCTTCATTGCCAACTGACTTCCTTGCTCTGTTCCTTCCAAGGTAAATCTACCACAGAGCTAGCTAAAACTAAGAGATGTAGACATACACCAGATGGTGCCACTCAGTCTTGGGGACAAGTATTGGTCCCTGGACATCTTTGATTTAGCAGAATAGACATACCCAGGTCACAAAGTCTAAATTCATTACAACACAAATAGGATCCAAAAGGAAAGCTTAAAGTGCTGGATGACAGAAATCAAGTAAACAAATGAAGCAACAGTGAGTAAGGGAGTTATATCCTTTATCCACAGGATGTGAATAGGTGTTACTGTCACTAAACAAAATGATGCACGAAAAAGCCAACTGTGCACAAAGTAGTAGCAAAAGATCATTTGAAAGAGCCCTCATTTGCAAGAGCCCTCATTTGCATTTGAGGGAAATGCAAACGTTTATCCGCTCTAAAAATGAGAACAAGACTGCTTTGCCGCACAGGCACAGAAAGACAATCTGCAATGAGTCTCAGCTGTGCTCAAGCGTTTCTTGCTCTTGGCCTCCAGAGGAGCTGGGGCAGTCCTGTGCCCCTTTGGACTTCTGGCTCAGGCAAAACCAAACCCCTCTCAGCTTCTGCATTACCGGAAGCACGTTTTGAGGGGAGAATATATAGCCCCTAAGACTGTGCTGCCTGCCTTCAGCGGGATGAGTCTAGCCTTCCCACACTTCCAAGCAGAGGCCACTGTGGTTCACAGTTTACCTCTTCAGAGGAAAATACAGCAGGCAAATATCTTCAGGCTTCATCTAGGCTTCACAACACAAGCACAGGACATTTCCGTAGGGCGAGTATCTGGAGGCCTATCCTTGCCTCAGTTTCTATACATCTTGGACTTTTTTTTTCTGTTTTTTTTTTTTAAATTTTGATCTGGTTTTGTGAGTGGCTCCAAGGTAATCCCTGGGCTCCAGTCATCGAGGTCATACTTCCTGCCAAGCCTCCTTGTGTTAGGTGGTTTGACACTCAAAATAGCTCTGTTATTCCTTTAAGACCCTACTTTTCAAATGAATGTTGATCAAATTCTAGCTCCCCCTAGATTTCAGTCCATTCTTTTTTGATATGAGACTCATATTAAATCAATGTTGACATTGGTAATTCTTCATTGTCCCTAGTCCAGGGGAAAAGTGACACCAGATGAAATAGCAGATGGCTGATTGCCATTCACCTTGCTATTTAGTGACAGCAATTTCAGGAGTCCAGGCTGTTCCTATCAGTTTTATACGAGCACATTCTGCCTATACTCACAACCCCCCCCAAGTTGGGGACTTTCAAAAGGAGCCTACCAGAAATTTTCAATAACTGATATCATTAGGAAAAAAAATAATACTGAAAGAACCTAAACAAGAAATTGTAAGATCTATCTTGCAAAGCTCATTAGGGAAAATGAAATATAGTCATGTAATGATGTGTAAGACAAACTCATTCCCTAACACAGTTTAAATTCACTCCTTAATTCAGCATCTCTTCTAGGATTAATAACTGATACAGGAATATAGTTTTTTACACTCTATTTGAAAGAATAAAAAGTAATTCTGCTACTGCATGTGAATTGGTTATACTGTCATCAATCAAAAGAGATTAAAATGATTGTAGCTTGCGTGGGAAAAT